GAAAAATTTGATAGCCTTTTGGACATAGTTCCAAATTGTTCTCCAGGGTGGATAGACCAGTTCACAATTTCAATAACAATGCATTAGTGTACCTATTTTCCCACATCCCTTCCAACATTTATCATTTTCCTTTTCTGTCATCTTAATCTGATAGGTGTGACGTGGTACCTTAAAGTTATTTTAATTTGCATTTCTCTAATCAGTAGTGATTTAGAACATTTTTATATGACTATGGATAGCTTTAATTTCTACTTCTGAAAACTACTTAGAACTGGGGAGAAATTAACAGTTGTTGAGATGGTTAAAGTCAACCTTGGTTGTGATCTTCCTCACTGCAGAAACAGTATAAATAATTATTTGTCTTGGTTTTATTGTTTGTTACACTGTTAATAAATTGTATAGCCAGCAACCTCAATATTTATATCAGCCTATGAAATTAGGTAGATAGCACAGTGCATAGAGCACTGGGCTTGGAGTCGGGAAGACTCATCTTCCTGAGTTCAAATATGCCCTCGGACACTTACCAGCTGTGTGATGCTGGGCAAACCACTCAACCCTGTTTGCCTCAGTTTCCTCATCTGTAAAATGAGCTTCAGAAGGAAATGGCAAACCACTTCAGTATCTTTGCCAAGAAAATCCCAAATGGGGTCAGGAAGAGTCAAATACAACTGAAATGACTCAACAAGGAAACAATGAGATTAAAAGGTTTAAGATTTTGAAATGAGCAAACACATGAAAAAGAAGCTTCATTAGTTTGTTTTAATGAACAATATTTAATCAACTGGGGTGGGGGTTAGAGCTAACCGATTAATTAATAACAGATTTTGCAATTTTAGTAGTTGATGGGGAAATATCAAAAAACACTTCCTGAAGCCAAGATACTCTTTTGTCTTAGACCCTGGAATGAGAAATTAAATGAAATTGTGAGCCAGTAATAGCAGATAGAGAGGATGATCACCCTATAGCAGTGACATTTGAAGGTCATTGTCAATACAAATTAAAAGCCTGTTAAATACAAATAAAAATACATGCCAGGTAAGGGTAGAGGGAAGAGAAGGTACAGGCAAATATTTCTTTTGTGCGACTCTTGTCTATATAAACAATTTGATTAAAAATGTGCTACAAAATCATGGGCCCTGGATGACATATACTAATTTGTCAGTGAAGAATAATTAACTTAGAATATTTACCTTTTCATAAGAAGTATTGTGGTTGGGAGCAGCTAGGTGGTGCAGTGGATAGAGCAAGGTCCCTACAGTCAGGAGGACCTGAGTTCAAATATGACCTCAGACCAGACACTTGACACTAGCTATGTGGCCCTGGGCAAGTCACTTAATCCCAATTGCCTAAAAACAAAAGAAAGAAGCATTGTGATTTTAAAAACTGAATTGTAAAGAGTCGAAAATAACTGTCTAAATTGGATTACTATTGTAGTCTACAGGACCACTTGAACTGATAGTTAAAGAGTGAATCTTTTCCCTATACAAATTTCTGTCCTTACCCACTTTCCATTTTCTTTTGAAATTTTCTTTATTAGAGATTATAATCAGTTCCGTGATTTTAATTATGAAGATAATCACTAAAACTACATGTTTAGTCCCAATTTCTCTCTCAACATCCTATCTCTAGTTGCCTGCTGGAGTTCTTCAACTAAATCATCCATTACCACTTTAAACTCAAATACATGTAAAACTGAACTCATTATCCTCCCCCCAAAAATTAACCCTTTTCCTAACTCTCCTGTTTTTGACATTAGGGATGTTTTTTGTTTTTTTTGTCTAGGCAATGGGGTTAAGTGACTTGCCCAGAGTCACACAGCTAGTAAGTGTTATGTGTCTGAGGATGGATTTGAACTCAGGTCCTCCTGAATATAGGGCTGGTGCTCTATCCACTGTGCCACCTAGCTACCCCAACTCCCCTCTTTCTGTTGGTCCCATCCTACACCCTCCCAGTCATCTAAGCTCAAAACCTCAGAATAATTTTTGATTCTTCCTTCATCTTCACTCTCATATCTAATCATCTTCCAACTCTTGTTCATGCTGAAATATCTCCTGCATACATGCCCTCTTACACTGCCATCACCCCATTTTATGTTCCCATCATCTCTTGCTTAGTTACTATATTAGCCTCCTAACTGACATTTCTGATTCTTATTTTTCCTCCTTGAAATTCATCACCCAGGGAGCTGCTAAAATAAACCCCCCAATTTACATGTCTGACTATGTAACTCCCCTGCTCAAAAAACTTCTATGGCTTTCTATTGCCTCTAGAGCAGGGATGGGGAACCTGCAGCCTCGAGGTCACATGTGGCCCTCTAGGTCCTCAAGGGTGGCTTTTTGACTGAATCCAAAGCTCACAGAACAAATCCCCTTAAAAAAAGGATGCATTCTGTAAAACTTGGACTCAGTCAAAAGGCCACATCCAAGGACCTAGAAAGCCACATGTGGCCTTGAGGCTGCAGGTTCCCTCCCCTTGCAGGATGAAAGTCGAACTTTTTAGCTTGACATCAAAGCCCTCCACAATATGGCTACAACCTAACTATCCTGCACCGTTAATCATTTTTCCCTTTTGTATTCTCTACATTTCCAGAAAACTGAACTACTACTTGTTCCCTAAATTCAATATGCTATCTCCCATCTTCTCGAGACTCACCTTTCACCCATGCTGAGGACCTCCTTTGTCCTCATCTATGCAAGCTGAAAGCTTTCTTTCCCTTCATGATCCAAGTTGTGTCATTCCCTCCATGAAGCATTACCTGAATCTTCCCCTATATCCACACAATCTGAAATTGATCTCTTCCTCTTCAGACTTTGTCTGGATTTTTCCTTTGCCTTAATCATAATCTACTTTGCGTTATCCTTATTAGTGACAGCATCACATTTTATGTTAGACTGTATGCTCCTGGAGGATAGGAAATGCATTATTTTTCATATTGCTATTCCCAAAGTTGAATGCAGTGTCTTGCATTTAGGAGACACTTAACAAACACTTCTTGAATTGACTCACGTGGAGACCTTGGTTCTAGTCTCACACTAGGGTCTATCTGAGTCTATCTCTGACAAGTTGATTGTCTTTTTTGTACCTAGAATTATACTAGGTATTATGAATGGCAGCTGATAAGTCTGCTTGGGGAGGTCAATCAAAAAAATCAACAAACATTTATTAAGCATGTGCCAGAGAGATATGTACATTATATATATATATATATATATATTTAGCTTATGGATACACAATCTCATAGTAATGAGTGCAGATCATACCATATATGCCTTTTTATTCAGTGTGATTCTACTAGACCATATCATGAAATACTTAGCAAATAATATGTCTAGTCACCGCATACTGATACTAAAAAACGCTAAATTTCATTATGCCAACAATTAGAGCAAAAGTCAGTATATATAATGAGGTACTAATTGAAGAGTAGAAAGAAATCCAAAGAAGGAAGAGATTATCTCAACTGGAGCAGAATGGTCATTTGGAAGATTCATTCATCTTGGCATGTGTTCTGTATCATCTTTTATAGCTACCACACCCACTGCATGCAACTATTCAAGGCATAATTCTTAGCATGTCCAAGTTTACAAGGTTCCAAGAACATCTGCCATTTGTCTAAGATTATGCAATGTTGACGACTTTAGAAGATCTATCTAAAGTGAGTTTATTTTTAAAGTATGAGTCAGAAGATGGAAAGCATCCTTAACTTGACAGGTACTTAAATTATATTTGAGTTTATTTGTAAAATTTCAGAAAAGACTCTATGAAAAAAAACAACACTGTAATTGTGTTTACAACTGTCAGCAAAATCAGGGAGGGTGACCATAGACTACGGAATTTGCAGATTCTCTTCACCAAATCAGACTGTAACCTTCCTTTTAGTAGACAATTGAATTTAATTCTGAAAACATTTATGAAATGCTTACTATATACAAGACAAAACAAAATAGTCCTTGTCCTCAAGGAGCTTATATTCTTTTCTTTTTTTAATGGTAATTATTTATTTATTTATTTGTTTTCAACATTTACTTCCACAAGATTTTGAGTTCCAAATTTTCACCCTATCTCACCCCTCCCCCTGCCCCAAGATGGCAAGCATTCTAAATACCCCTTCCCCTAGTCTGCCTTCCCTTCTATCTCTCCCTCCCTTCTCTTATCACCTTCCCCTTCAATTTTCCTGTAGGGCAGGATGGATTTCTGTACCCCATTTCCTAAGGAGCTTATATTCTTTTAGATGGATATCATGTTTACATAGAACCACAGAATATAAATGCCATTCAGTCTAACCAATACTCCCCAAGAAACCTCCATTTCAACCTACCTGGCAAGTGACTCTCTAGTCTTTGCTTGAAGACTTCCAAGGAAACGGAATCCACTATCTCCAGAGGAGCTTCTCCATTTTTTGAACAAAGATAATTCTCAGGAAATTTGTTTTTTTTTTTCTCCTGATATCAAACCTATTTTTGCCTCTTTGAAAGGTCTGTGAATTATTCCTGATTCTACTTTCGGTGGCAAAATGAGTATAATCTCTCATCCACAAAGCATGCCCACAAATGCTTCAACATTCTGGCCTGAGACTTCTCTTTTCCAGGCTAAATATCTTCAGGTTCTCCCGCCTGTCCTCATATATCTGCCATGGATTCAAGGCTCTTCAACACCCTTGATACCCTACCCTAGAAACTCTCCAGTTTATCCATGTCCTTCTTAAATCATGATGCTTAGAACTGAAAACAATACCCTGACAAAGGCAGACTACAAAAACTATCCCCTACTTTCTTCCAGGAAATAGTTCCTCTTATTGTAGAATAAAACCACATGGGCTTTTTGGATGATATATCACACTGCACAATCATCTTGAGCTTTTGTTCTTGTTCAGTCCTTTCAGTGACCTTTGGCCTTTCATGACCCCATTTAGGGTTTTCTTGGCAAAGATACTAGAGTGGTTTGCAAACTCCTCCTCCAGCTCATTTTATAAATGAGGAAATTGAGGCAAAAGGGGTTAAGTGACTTGCCTAGAGTCACACAGCTAATAAATGTCTGAGACCAAATTTGAGCTCGGGAAGATGAAATCTTCCTGACTCCAAGCCCAGCACTTTTCCCCCTGTGCCACCTAGATGTCCTTTTCAAATAGAGGACATAGAGATACTAAACTGATAAGAACATATACTACATTTGATCTTAGCCAGAGGCTGAGAAACTTACAATCCACTAAAATGCTTTGACCTTTTTTTCTCTGAAAAATGGCTGTCCAATCATGTCTCCACTATCTTGTATTTTTAAAGCTGTTTTTTTTAAACACTTGGTGCCCTTTCCCCTGCCCCTGCCCTCACAGCATATTCACTGCTCCCGTGTCACAGCTACAATACTATTACCCATTTAGGCAATCTTGAGCCTTATCTTCTAGCTGCTTTTTATGCTTTGTGTTTCTTTGCCTGATCACAGGTGACTGAACATTGGTCACAAGGTGGATGTGTCCAGACATGAAGGCCATCTTGTGAGTCAGAGATCTTGAGATCCTGGACCCTAAGTTTGTGCTAGCTGGGTTTTTGGAAGAGTCCCTGGCACTGGTTCTTGGAAACAATGACCACTGGACAGAGGAGCTCAAAGTCCTGGCCATGATTGAACCCACAAGGAGTTGTATGGGCAGTGCAGAGCCAAAGTTTCCAAAGTTTCAAATAGCACATTGACAACAATGCAAAAAAACAATAAAAATGAAAACTCTTTACTCAACAGGATTAGAACTTAAATTTTGCTCTTTTTTTTCTCTTTAAACATTTTCTTAGTTTTTGTTTTATATTACCATCACTTCCCAAGGATCCCTTTACAATGACTTTTCCTGTAGATCTCCAACAGAACCCCGCTTAAAACAAAAAAGTACAATTAAGCAAAAGAAATCCATACATTGGCCATGTCTGACAATGCATGCCTCATTCTGAACTGATATTCTACCACTTTTTTTCACAACAGACAGGAGGAATGCTTAATTGTCAGTCCTCTGAAATCCTTTTTGGTCATTGGATTGAACATAGTTCTGAAGTCTTTCAATATTGTTTTCTTTTATATTATTGTGATTATATAAAATACTCTCCTAGTTCTGCTTATTTCTTCTTTTTTTCAGTTCATTCAGATCTTTTGGGTATCTTTCCCAGAATCCTATTTAACAGTTTTTTCCAGTGATTTTTTTTAGCCATCTCTCTCAATGGTGTATTCTGCTTCATTTTCTTTTCTTTTTCTTTCTCATTCCCACCAAAACAAACTCTTCTGATTCTTCTTCAGTCACATAATTTTTTCTCAAACTGAAAACAAAAATGGAAATCTGCAGATACCAAATAAAACACCCTTTTCTCAAATCATAGATTTCACACTTGAGGGAAGTATATATATTGCTGCTTCACATCATGTTGTCTGTCCAGTATAACATGCTAGGGTCACTGCAACTCTGGTCAAGATGCAGTTTGCAAGAAAGTGAGCTCAAGGTCAACATCAGATGGCCAAAGGGGAAGATTTTAAGTTTCTGAGTACAGCTCTACCAATGCTCACCAGCATTCAATCTCCCAGACAGGCCAGCTTCAGGACAAGACTCCCTCCACTTCTTATTCCTTAGGGCCTTCTCCAGTTAAAAAAAGTAAACACCGCCTCCCAATGAGTTCCTATACTTTTTCCTGATCTAATGGCTTATAAGACAGCCCTCCTAGGGCTATCATCACAACCTGCCATAAGTGCCTAGAACAGTCTAATTATTTGAATCTCTCAACAGACCTCTCTTCAATCATTGCTACCCTGCCTGAACTTACTCATTAATGGTTAACACATAATCACTCCCTTATAAGCTCCCTGTTCCAGTAATTGAAATTCATCCTCACAACTGTTATATAAACCACTTCCTCCATTCCCAGCTACTCACTTCCTCTATCATCAATCTCTACCCCCATCAAATGCCCCACTCTAGATCTTCCCATTCCTTCCACTGCGCATTCTGAAATGTCTATTCCATAATTACCCAATCTACTTCCATCTTAAACCTCTTTCTCACTCTTTCCACCTTCTGGTACTCACCGAGACCTGGCTGCCTCCTGATAACATTTCTTCCCTTGCTAACCTGTGCAGTACTGGCTACACTTTCTCTCATACTGGTCAAAATCCTCTTGCTACTATTGTCACTCAGTAACCTCTTATTCAAATATATCACTCAATCCAGATCCCAGTGACATATAACTATCAACCCACAGTATATTCTCCTTTCTTCTTCAAAGAATTCAATATCTGGCTCACAGTTTTTCTTTCCTCTCTAATTCCTGTCCTCATTCTAGGGGAACTAACAGATTTATGCTTCCCCAAATACCCTAAAGTTCAGTTCCTCAATCTATTCAATTCCCTTAACTCATTCCACTTCAGTCACACATATAAATGATCATGCCCTTGCTTTTTCCATTACCTAAAATATTTCCCTGGGTGATTAGGTGACACAGTGAATAGATCGCTGGGTCTGAGTTAGGAAGACTCATCTTCCTGAGTTCAAATCTGGCCTCAGATACTTCCTAGCTGTGTGACCTTGGGCAAGTCACTTCACCCTGATTGCCTCAGTTCCTCATCTGTAAAATAAGCTGGAGAAGGAAATGGCAAATCACTCTAGTATCTTTGCCAAGAAAATTCCAAAAAATCATGAAGAGTCAGACATGACTGAAGAACAACAAAAATACTTCCTTATTCACAAACTCCAGAGTTTCTTTATCTGATCATAATCTTTATCATTCCAACATTCCCTATAACCCTTAACCTAGTTCTTAGTTCTCACCATGTACTCCAAGCCCTTCACTCCTAAATCTTCTTTAGGATATTACCCCTGCACTGGTTACATTCTTCTTCCTTTCATATCTTCACTCCTTGGCAAACTAATTCAACCATGCACTATCTTCTATGGTTGAATTAATTGCTCCCTTGTCCAAAATGTTGATCAAGTTTATTGGGATGGCCTCCTAATTGATGTCCCCATTTTGTCTCTTCTTACTCCAATCCTTCTTTCATAGAGCTACTAAAGTGATTTTCCTAAAGTGTGGGTACAGTCATCACACACACATATACACACACACATCCCAACTCAGTGAACTCCAGTGGCTCCTATTATCTCCAGGATCAAAATGAATGCTGCTAATTTATTATTCAATGAACAGCAAAGGTATCACCACCAAAAAGCAAATTATGGTAGAATTAAAACTTGTTTATTAGCAAAATTACTGTCTACCAAAAAAAGGAAATAGAAATAGGAAATATTTTCTATATGTAGTTATGTTGTTCTACATATAACATTATGCTGTATCATATAATGTGTATTTATTATTATATTACATTAATAGAACTGGTAAAATCAGGTGAATCCACAGAACTTAAACAGGATTCACAACATCCTTACTGGATGGTTGAATATTACAGTCATCCTCCTGTTTGTTAACATACCTGTGTTATATACTGTAATATTGACTTCCAGGACTGAATGTAAATTGCAATGAAATCTTCTCCCAGTCTTTATAATTTGGTATTCTAAAGTCTTTTGGCTGGGAGACATCAAAGAAGCATTTGACATTCTCTTCTGCCAATTCGGTAGCATGCTTCTTAGCTTCATTCATCAATATCTCTTCTTCCTTTCGACAATATAGTTTCCAGAACTTAAGGTGAAGAAAATTAACTGGAGATTGGCATCTAGTGATGGACGTGAAAATCAGAAGAGCAATCACAACAAGAGCTATCAGGGTCCAACCTGCCACCTGCAGGACACAGCACAAAATGACATCATTTGGGTTACAATTTAATTTTAAAAGAAATAGAAAATTAATCTCTTCTGAAAAGTTTATTGTTCACAAGGATGGGGAATTCTTCCTGGAGAGAAACTTTATGAACACAACGAATGTGGTGAAACTTTTGGCCACACCTAACAGCTAACTTGATATCAGACAATTCATATAGGAGAGAAGTTTTCAGTATTTAATACAGGTGGGATGGCCTCCTGTTAGAACAAATAATTTAGACCATCAGAATTCAGCCTCTGAGACTTTCATCCCAGCCCATGTGGACAAATTAATGTTCTCACCTCTGTTCCTGGAATGTTCTCCTTCCTAAGCTTTCCCTTCTGGAATCTCTGCCTATTGAATCTCTCTCAAGCCTTAAAAACCTCACTCAAATTCCACCTCTTCAACAAAACCATTCCTAATTACCTACTCCAGGCTTAGCTCGTGTGTCATCTTCTGCAAGAGACCTTTCTGGATTCATTCAGTTGATAGTCTCTCTCCATCCCCTCCCCCATGCTTGGCATTTATTTTGTACGAATTATATATTTGCTTATGTGTATAAATATTGTTTCCCCCTTGAAGAGTGTGAGCTCTGCATGACAGATTTTTGTTAATCTCCAGCACTTAGTGCCTGACACATAGCAAATGCTTGATAAATTATGCTTAAATTAGAGAAACTAGAGAGCAGTATTGCCATCATTCACAAGAGGCACCTGTTATTTGTGGAGTCATTCATATTTCCAGGAATGTCAGGGCACTAGGGGAAAGAACCCAAACCATATACCCTTAAATGGAAGCTTCCTTCAAGTCCCAACTAAAATCTCACTTTCTACAGGGAACCTTCCCTAAATTTTCTTAATTCCAGTGCTTTCTCTCTTTTAATTATTTCCTAATTATCCTTTATATAGCTTGCTTTGTGCATAGCTGTTTGCCTATTGTCTCCCCCATTAGATTGTGAGCTCCTTTAGGGCAGCAACTATCTTTTGCCTCTTTTTGTATCCCCAGTGTTTAACATGGTGCCTGGCACATAGTAGGCACTTAATAAATGTTAATTGGTTGATTACTTATTGATTGAAAATATAAATTTCATGTGTCTCACATTACAACCCAGACAGGGTACACTGCTCATAGTAAAAACATTAGGATTACTCTTCCTGTCGTTTAGTAAGATTATTTCTTTGTATGTTGGAAGATTCTAGGTATGAGACAAAACAATTCTTTCATCTTTTTTTTTTTTTTTGCAAAGAGAACTTAAAATTCACTTATTCCTTGGCCATTTATTTAGAGTTATTGAATTCATAGCACTGATAGGTGCCTGGGGAAGTACATTACAAAGATTAGATTAGAGACTCTCAGCCAGCTTACATTCTATAAGGGAATTATTCCTAGTTAGGGAATAATACACAAACATGAAACATGCATTTGAGAGCAGGTGAAACAAAGCCTGAGGAAGAAAGTTATTTTGTGATAAAGGAATCATTTGTTCATTCAATAAACATTTAATAAGCCCACAATGTGCCAGGTAGCCTTCCTGAAAACGATAGCATTTGAGTTAGACTGAGTGGAAGGTCACAGGTTTCTACTTCCATTCATGTGTGCTAGTTGAATCTCTCTATAAACTACCTCTTTCCTCTCTTCTATCTTTCCATCGCCTCTCTCTCCAACCCTTCCCCAACCCTGGCTTTTGTGACTAGCATCTCTCCACTTTCTTCCCAATGAGCTGAAATTATGAGGAGTTTTCACTTGGGAATGCGCTTTGAGTTCCTTCGAGAAATCCTGGATCCACTCCGGCTTTGCTTTTTGGCAGGGCACTTGTGGCAGCTGCTTGGTACAATTGACCTCTTGATTGGGCACAACTGCCGAGATACCCAGGTGCTCCCACTGGCTGCGCACTCATAGAAACCTCCCCCGAGTAATGCCACTGCGATCCAAGTGATGGGTGCCACAGCAGCGGCCAAGGTGAAGTGACAGTATGTCACCATCCCCATGCACAAGTCCCGGCCAGCTTCACTGGGCTCTTCTTCCTCACCGCCCGGCGCACAGCAACCTGTCATGAGCCGCTTGGCCCGGGTGCTCAGCAGGCAGCCCAGAAGGAAGAGGACCAGAGCGGGAACCAGGAGGAAGATGAGGGAATAGGGAAGGTTCCAGGTAGCGCTGCAGGGGCACTGGAACACTACGCTGGATAAGAGACTCTCCCCGCCAGCTGCCAGCAGGCTCAAGAAGCTATAGCCTAAAACAGTGTGGTATTTGACGAACAGGTCCAACACTCTTTACTCTCTGCAGTAGGGCAAGGGGAAGACAAGACCACGTGGATATGTGTGAGAGGGTTGGAGAGAGAGATTTTCCAATTTTTGTAATCTGTACATAGGGGAAGTGGACTATTACATAAGTTTTAAAGTTTCGCTTTCTTAGATGGTAACCCAGCTGAATTTTGTTTAAATTCACACAGGCCCAAGAGAACAGAAGCAATTCCCTTATTGCCCCTTCTTTGATAGACATACAGTCTCCCCACTTTTTTTTATGAGATGGAAAAACTGCAACTGAAGAAACTAGACCATTTATTCTTCTGCAAAAGTGAAGATAATTTAGTATAAATAACCTTATCTGCTGCTTCAACTATTCCCCCATGATACTTTATCCCCAAACTTAATAACTTCAGGTCACCCTTACTTGATTTAAAAATCGAGGATCCAAAGCTTTCCAAAAGTATCTCTGGGTGCTGATTCATTCCTACTTCTCCTGGGGGCCCGGGCCGATTTGGGGTTCCCTTCTCCCTGCCTTCGAAAACCTGGGAAGAGCGGGAGTCAGGCGATTGAGGGTGGGGTAGCCTTTCAGGACAGCGCGCTTGCGCAGTGCTCTCTCCCGGCAGGAGGAGTAGGTGAGAAGAAGCTGCTGCTGCTGCTGCTGCTGCTGCTGCTGCTGCAGTTGGCGGTGGCCTAGGTACCTGCTGCTGCGGGGGGGGCGGGTGGGGGTACTTCCGGCGTTCCAGGTGCCCCCAGGGGCGGGTCGGACCAAGGTGCTGGGCCCAAATGCTGCGTTTTGAGGCTGCCCCAGGCCCCTCTTCATTTCTTGGGCTCGGCTCAGGTTTTGTTTTCGTGCTGCTGACCTAGGTACCCCGGTTGTAGCCTGAGATCTCATCCCGAGGCTGAAATGAGGGAGGCAGGGCGACCCCGACAGCTGCCTGCTCCCACTCCTTTCCTAAAGATGGGGGGAGGAGAGGGATCGAAAGATGGTCTGCTTACTGAAGCCGCCCCTAGGGGATGGGGATTTTTCCCCTGTTCACATCACCTACCAGCTGTGTACTCACCTTCCTGAACCTCAGTGGCCTGACTGGTAAAATGGGTATCCATTTAACCTCGAGATATCCTGCTAGGTGCTGGAGATGCAAAAGAAAACGTGAATTGCTGCCCTCTTGGAGTTTCAGTTCTACCTGAGGAAGACAAAATAGGTTCAGAGATTTTGAACTAAAAGGGACCTTAGAGGTAGTGAATCCCACACGTCTTACCATCGAGGGAACTCTTAGACACTTGTGTTTTGCCGAAGGTAAGCGGCAAGTCCAGCATTTGATCCTAGGCTCTCAGCTTCCAGATACCAGGATCTCCTTTCCCTTCACTGGTAAAGGAGTGATAAGAAAGGTAACAATATGTGTGTGTGTGTGTGTGCGTGTGTGTGTGTGTGTGTGTGTGTGTGTGTGTGTGTGTGTGTGTGTG